CTCCTCCAAGACCATTTTAGGCTGGACATAAGAAAATTTTCTTTACTGTCCGAGCCCCCAAGACCTGGAATAGACTCCCTCCAGAAATGGTGCAGGCAACTACTCTGGACTCATTCAAGAAATGCTTGGATGCTTATCTTGCTGGGATCCTTTGACCCTAGCTGACTTCCTGCCCCTGGGGCAGGGGGCCAGACTTGATGATCTTTGAGGTCCCTTCCAGCCCTAACATTTATGAAATCTGTTTAAGTCAGTTACCAGGTCATCTCCTTTGGCCAGGACCAAGTCTAGCAGAGCATCGCCTCTGGTTGGCCCATGCACCTCCTGAGTCAGGAAGAGCTCCTCAACACGAGTCAGGAAGGATTGTGACTGATCCAACTTGGCTGAGTGTTTCTCCCAGGAGATGTCTGGATAATTAAAATAGCCCATGATGACCATGTCACGTGCATGTGTGGCCTTAGTTAATTCTTGGGTGAACTCCAGATTGAGTTCCACCCCCTGGTTTGGTGGTCTGTAGTATACACCTACAGTTAGGACTCACTTGCCATGTGTCGTCCCCCCCGTGCACCTTGATCCCAGATGGTTTCAAACTGTCCATTTTTGGAGCTGATATCAGCCTCCAAGGATGTATACTGCTCTTTCACATAGAGAGCAACACCTCCACCTTTCTTCCCCACCTGGTCCCTTCTATGCAGGGTGTAGTAGCCCTCTATAGCTACACTCCAGTCATGTGAAGAGTCCCACCAAGTCTCCATTATCCCTGCTAGATCATAATGCCCACTGGAGAGTAGGAGGGCTAGCTCCTCCTGCTTGTTCCCCGTGCTCCTGGTGTTAGCATATAGGCACCTGAGTCCTCCTACTGAGGCCCTCATCTTCCTGTCCTGATGATGGAGAACTATTCCCTCAGCTCCTGTAAAAGGGGCTCTCCCACTGTCCCTATCTACAGGGCTTACTTGTATATTTGTCTATGGACATGTTTGAATTTGTGTATTCCCGTTCCCCAGCAATCTTAGTTTAAAGCTCTGTCCAGAAGATCGGCCATCCTGGCCGTAAACAGGGACTTGCCTTTCTTTGTGAGGTGGATACCGTCCCTTTTCTGGAATCCTTTCTCACTGAAGTGCTTCCTGTGGTCAAGGAATCCAAAGCCTTCTCGGTGGCACCAGCGTCGGAGTTGCCGGTTCACTTCCTCGATGCATCCTTCCCTTCTGGGACTGTGGCCTGAAACAGGGAGCACAGAAGAAAAGACTACCAAGGCCCCCAACCCCTTGAGCCCAGACCCCAGAGCCCTGTAGTCTCTCATGACCTGCTCGTGAGAAGCAGCAGCAGTAGGAGGACTTCTGGATTGAGCATGTTGGAAAGAACTACTTGCACTTTCATCATCATAATCTACCTCCTCCTTACTTGCATCTATGAAGAATTGCTCTATGTCTGCAGGATACTTCTTAAATACACAAATGTGTTTGGTCATTCTAGTAGCATTTGGAAATGCATATTTAATTTGATAGTATTTGCATATCACATCCTTGTATTTACGAAGTGTCCTGCAGACTGTAAAAAATCCTTCATAGATGTAAGTAGCTCTTTCTTGCTTCTCCTTGAAATGCGTGCCATGGTCAAGGAATGCTTTCATATGCTAGAAGTTGGCTGAACCATTTTGCTGAGGTAGAAAAAAGAAAAATGTAATTTAGTGGCTAGCTTGCATATATAAACACTAAGCTACAGCATGGACAAATTTTTAGTACTGGATGGAGCAGAGTCCTCCTTAGAGTTAACTGTGAAAAACTTCCCTCACTACTAAGGGTGGGTGATTTGTCACAAAATATCAGGTTAATAGGAATTCAAGTAGGAATTACATAGGTTATGAAAATATATGAACGCAGCTAAAATATAGTTGAATATATTGAATTGAATTTAAACTCTTACCTTTCAATAAAGAAGTATACTTACTTTCAGCTCCTTTGTGCTGCTTCTGTACTTCTGTGGATCTCAAGGTCACAGGGCCAGGAGGAAGCAGGTTCCTTCCAACTCCAAAACCTTTAGACTTGCTCTGTCTCCTCTCCTGAGGCTTTTGAGCAAGCAGAGCAATAAGCTCCTTGTTTCTAATTTATAGGAATGAATGGATGCTGCTGCCAGTATCTACTCCCAGTCCTTTGAGGCCTAGTCAGGAGGACAGGAGCAGATCTACCAACCTCTAGATCAAAAGTCAACATGAGAGGAAGTCCACAGGCAAAGAAGGCACTGAATCCTTCTTTCTTCTCTTGTGAAAGTGGCAGTGCCCCCTGGGGACAGAAATGCATCCTGCTCTTGCATTTGAGTTGTACTGTACTGCTTATCCTCAGTGTACAGGAATTGTAATGATCTGATACTGTAGATAGTCTTACGTAAGTCTTCCATTTACGTAGGTATTAGAAAACATTGGGGGGGGTAAAGGATACCAATGTATGAACACCTTGTCTTAAACATTTTATTCATCATTCTAAAAGAATTTCATGAGAGGTTTTTATTAATTTTTCCAAAAATTTTAATTTTTTTCCCTTTTTTGAGAAAAAACCCCAAAAAGTCCAGGGGGAGGAGGGGAGCAGGGGGGGAAAAACGGGTTTTTTCTAGGATTTTTTTTCTGTTTTTTTCCAGACCTTCACATCTCTAGCCGAGCAAAATGGTTTTGCGTGCCAATGTCTGGCACGTGTGCTAGCGGTTGCCAATCCCCGATTTAAGCCATCCTAAACAAGTACTGAGCTAACTTGGTCTTAAAATTTCGGAATATTTTTCACACACAACCGCCAGGCATAATGTCCAAAACATCAAGGGTACCCTTTAACCTGTCGAAGACAAAGCAGGACATTGTCAGTGCCCTGCCGCTTCAATAACTTACTATTTATAGTGTTATTTGACAGATTATCCCACATTATGGTTCTTCAAACGTTTCCATTTTTTTAAAAGCAAATCGTAGATGGACTGAGGCTCAGGGCATTTACTTACGTTATTGGTGTAGGCACTATAAATTTCAATTAGGAACTTTAATGCTGCATATTTTAGTTTGGACTAATAGACTAGGATTTTGTAAACGCTGTGTGTGTTCACATATAAGACCAGGGATTTTTTCCCTCAATCAGCCTGGGGGAAAAGGCTCCTCATGCATTCACATACAAGGAAACCTCATTAAGTACATTGTCTATAATTAATTTGCTGCCAAAAACAGCACGTACTTAATAATGGAAACCAACTGGGAAGTTTAATTTAAATGCAGCTAACATTTATTGTGACTGTAAAACAGATGGGCCATATTGGACAAGCATTTTTTTTAAATGTATTTTGTGTTCCAGGTCAAATCAGCCCAAATCAATTTGAATCATATTGATTGAGCAGAACTCAGTTGTTCCAAAAACCATATCAACTGAGCAGGCAGACCTCAATCATTCTAAACACATGTCTGGTGCTACAACTAGCAAGCATCCTCCATCCCAGGCTCTCACCCTGGGACTTCAGATACTCCCAAATGCATTGACAGGCATCCTTTGTGCAGGCCCAAGCCCGGAGGTCTTGGGATTCAGATGCTCCCACTTGATCTTAGCCCATAAGAAGCCAAGGCACATGATCTGAGCCAAAGCAAACTTTTTTCCTGGATGGGGGGGGGGTGTGTGTGTGTGTGTGTGTGTGTGTGTACAGGAAAATCTCTACTATCCAGCATTTAAATAACTGGAATGCTTTACTAACCAGAATTTCCAGCTGACTGTGGTAAGGGGGCAAGGGATAGCTCACACCACCAAACAGGGCCCCAAACAATTCACCTAGAATCCTTCTGTCAGCCCCTTTCTCAGCCTTTACACATGATTAGTGTTGCCCTGCCCTCCATAAGGTAGAGCCAGACCATGTTGCCCTGTGTTTCATCTGCATTTACATTTTTGGAGGATCCCAGAAGTTGTGACAAGAACACCTGGTTCCAGTCATGTGTGGGGGGCTAATTAGCACGTGGCTCCTTTTGGTGGGGGGGAGTGGCAGGGTGCATCTAAAGTGCACACACACGCTAAGTCAGGGTTTGTCAACCAGGGGTATGTGTACCCCTAGGAGCACTTGAGAAGGCTCTAGGGGGTACGTGCAGGCGGCTAGGGACGGAGTGCCACTATACACCATCCTGTGTTGCTGCGCAGGTGTTGCCGTGCAGGCGCTGGCTGCCTGGCCAGATGCGGGAAACGGGAAGCTTGCACGCGGTGGCTGTTGCCACTTCGTGTTCATCCCCCTTCTCTTCTCCCCCGCCCCCCCCGGGTACACTGATCCAAAAAGGTTGAAAACCCCTGTGCTAAGCTATAGGGTTATCATAGCTTGAAATGCTGTTGACTCTGCTGGGGTCAGGCCCAGTGTACTATATGATAAATCATGAGACTTTTGGCTTTGGATCTCTATCATGCATAGTTTGTACTATATGTAAGTGGATATAAACATGCTTTTTAACAGCACTTTTGTAGCTTACCTGTGCTAAAACTTACAGCAGTTTCAAAAAAGGTAAAATGTATGAATTCCAGATGATCTAAATCTATGGCTACCCAAGCTAATTTTCCTATATACAGATTACTATAGGCATGTTTATTTCCAAGCCAGTGTTTTCAAATTTGCGTCTTCTATGTGCTCAAGGAGAGCAGGGACTGAGAGTAAGGAAGGAAGGGCTACAGGGAAGGAAAGGGGCCACCTGACTTCCCCAGATTTACTTTCCCTGTTCTAGCAGTAGGAGGGGACAAAATCAAAGAAGACCTCCAAAAATTAGATTCTATACCTAAAAAATCATAACAAATGTATACATTTTCCATGTATAGAATCTAATTATTGGGAGTCTTGTTATATTCAGGGTCATCGTATATTCAGATAAATATGATAGTATTTCTGTTTTGTTTTTCTCTTCACTTGTTTTATAAGTTATTTTGTTCTCTTCTGTAAGCTGCCCTAAACCTTTGCTGGGAAGGGCAGATTTACTGTGTACACATTTTAATCCTGCCTTGGTATCATTTCAGCATCTGAGGATACTCTATACAAAACTTACTGCTGTTCTGCAGAACATCCCCAAAGATGCAGCATATAGAAAATACACAGAAGCAATTATAAATGAACGACTTAATATGGTAAAAACAGTAAGTACAGAACTGCTCATAACTTTTTTGTAGGCAAAAATGTTGCAGTGAAATTGACGATTTAAAAAATCTCAGGTTATCTTCATATAACATACACAGTTATATAATGTCTTTTAGATATTTAGATAGAAAATCAGGGTCTCATGTCTTTTTTGATTATGTTATTAACTCTTCATATGTTTTGTGGCATGTTTAAAAGAAAAATTGTCTCTACTTTTAGCAAATCAGTAGTTTTAAAGAAACTTGAAATGTGGTTTTGTTTCGAGATTTACAGGAAGGCAATAGATTTCCACTATATTTTTACCAAATATGCATATACCCTTACTGTTGTTTTCTGCCTTACTATAATGCATAATTTTAGCCTAATTTTGCCATTCAGCAGTTCTTGAAACAATCATTTGTTCTTTTTTCACTGATTTTTGTGTCATTGTACTTCTAAATGACTTTAAAGTCATTGTTGGAAGCATGCTTAATCTTATTTCTGCAGAAAGCTTTGACCACCTTTGTGTGATACAGCAGCATGATATTAGCTTTGTCTAGAACAACTTTTGGAGGATAGTAGGGTATTTTTCTTAATATATTAATTGAGGCCATAAGACATTCTTATGAAAGAAAAGAATAGTACAGCAGTTGAGTTGCTATGCAGTGTAGCAAACTTAGTTGTGTGGTTACATTTAGAAAATAATTAGTAGTGTTTGATCTTCTATTTAAAATCCTTTCTTTGAGGTAACATCTATTTTTCATATTTTAAAGTGACACGGAGCATTTATTTAACTTCACAGGAACCTGATGTACAAAAACTGGAAAACAAAATAAACGGTGGGCAGATAGAAGAAGTCATTTTGCAGGTAAAATAGAACACATTTTAAAGGCAACATTGCAAATTGTATCTTTGCTCTTAACTGGAAGAGTAAATTCTCACAGGCATTAAAGGGCCATAACGTGTAGCAGTAACATGTCGGTGTGGGGGAGGCAGACAAAATACTGATTTAATTATTGGAAAAATGCCATGCGTACACAGATATAGAAATAGTTATCTGATTTAAGGTATATGTATAACATGAGTACATATAATTACTGCTTGCTGCAAAGGTGGTCTTAAAAAGCTGGTTATGTGTTTTGAACCACTTGGAAAAAAATATCAAGAGAAATGGTGGATCTCTTTCAAGAACAAGCAGTAGTTACTATTTGCTGTTTGTACAGAATAAATGAGCTAATTAAAGGAAAAACGCAACAAAAAATCTAAGATTGCAACTTGATATATCATCTTAAAAGTTAATTGGTTGTAGGTTTAGCAACAAAATATTACAGAACTCCCTTTTTGTCTTCTGAAGTTGAGGTTAGCCAATTTGGGCTTAGTGACATTATGGCATGTATTTGGGAAAGTTCAAGTCAAAGAAAAATGTGAAGTTCTTTAATAGGGGTGTAGGTTGTAGCCATGTTGGTCTAAGGACATAGGCAGACAAAGTTCTTTGGGTGAATCTGATATCTTTTATTAGACCAACTTAAATAGTTGGAAAACAATTTTTAAGCAAGCTTTTGGGTTCAAAAACCCTTTGTCAGGCTAAGGAAGTTTCAGCAGTTGGTGTGTGCTTTTCCTGGATGGAATGAAAAGTAAAGAAGCCAGAGGCTGGGCTGGTATGCATACAAGACAGGCCGTCAGTGAAGTTGTAGATTGAGGAGTCAATGGGTGAGAGACAGGCTGGGTGGGAGGGGAGAGAAGGGGGATGAATAATGGAGAAGTACTTGAGGAGTCAGATGTCAGGCAGGTTATAATGTGTCATAAATCAAATGTCTATATTTAGTCCGTGATTTTTAGTATCCAGGAGGTTGATTTAGTGGAGTTCATTGGCTCGTCTCTGGGAAATGTTTTGTAAGTTTCCCTTGAGGATCAGGACTGAGAGATTGGAGAGAGAATGTTTTTTTTTTTTTAATATTATCGCATGCTTCTAAAATTACTTTTTTTTTATAGTTATCTACCCAGAAGGAGTGAGAAACTAATTTGGATAGGATGGTACACATATTCTTATCTCACAGTATTGTGTTTGTTTTGTATTTTATTTGTTCGTTCTGGTCAGGTTATCCTTTCCTGTTTGTAAGGATTTCTTTCCACCTATATTCTCTCTCTTTGCCGGTTTCTCTACATCCTTTTATTCCTACTTTTCTTATCTCTGTTCCCCTTAATGAGAGAGCTTGCCACCTTCTCCCCTTGTGGGTTTTTTTTTTATTTTTCCCTTTTGTTTCCTATCCCATATGTAATCATCATGGATCTCATTTAGGGTTAGAAGAAGGATGTCGTTGCTTGTGCACTATTGGGGCTGAGACGAGGCACTTCAGTAGGGTTCAGATTTCCTGCTTGTGGTGTTTTCAGTCAGCATGTATATTATGAAAAAGGCAGGTGGATGGTTTGAATAGAGATATTAGCCATTCTTTGCTTCCCAGTAAGGAAATGCTTCTGTAATGATGTTGGGAGTGGTCAGAAAAAAAAGATCAGAGCAGCTTTTGGAGCTTCAATTCCCTCCTGTCTTGTCTTTTCTCTTCATTCTTAGTGATGTAGACTGGGGGGTCTGCACAGCTGGACCCACAGCTGTTAGAGTGATCATGAACTCCTTAATGAGATCCTGATCCATAGTTTAGAAACAATTATAATTAGGTTTTGATTTGGAGTGAGCATTGACTGATTTGTTTCTTGGCTTTTGGGGTAAAGTGTGTTGGCAATAGGAGATCCGGTTCATGCTGTTTGGCATGTGTACTATAACTGAAGTGTACCGCATTTACTTGCCTATACCACATACATTGTTTCCTGAAAATTGGAATTTAGGTTTTAAATGAGGAAGCTGATTTCCATGTTGGAATAGCTGCTCAGGGCTGGTGTTCTCCCAGCTGCGTGCAGGAGAGGCAGAGTTTACTGCTCAGCCAAAAGCTGGAGGTGTAACTGTCTAGCTCGGGGGGGGCGGCCCGCCAGGCCATTCCATGCGGCCTGCGGGGCCCTTAAAAAATTTAGAAAATTAATATTTATCTGCCCCTGGCTGCCTGTCATGCATGCGGTCCTTGATGGCTTGCCAAAACTTAGTAAGCAGCCCTCCACCTGAAATAATTGCCCGCCTCTGCTCTAGCTGCTGTTGAATTAGCTGCTCAGCAAAAAGTTGCTGCCAGTTTGGCAGTGGCAGTGACAAGGTTAAACCTCTAGTTTTTGGCTGAGCAGGAAAGGGAGGGTAAGTGACAGGGATGTGACAGGTTCCTTCCCTGCACCAGGTGGCCAGAATTCAGCCATGACTAGAACATTTTCTTCATTCTGCCTTCTCGAAACAAGATGCATGTCTTATCTGGGGGGGTCGAGAATGCAAGAAAATCTTTTATTTTCTTTTTAGGTTTGTCTTCAATTCTTGGTGACTTTCTTTCTGTAGAACAGAAAGAGTCTTTATATGTGTACTCCCGTGTACAGCAAGATCCCTAAGTACTACCTTAGTACAAAGAATGGAATAATGTACTTGTGGTTATCTATCAAGGCAATTCCATACATGTCGTTTGTTTGTTTATTTTCTCACTCATGCTCAGCTAACCAAATTGTTAAGTTTTACTTTTGGAGGACTAATAGTACCCAGTTGTGTTGCCAACAGAGAACTCTTCAAAAAAGATGGGCTGATTAAAGAATAGCTATGATTTAGAGCTGGTAGATGTGCAGTTTTCTAAAAATGCTTTGTAACTATAGCTAAGTCAAGAACTCTAATTCTCTAAATTTTAGCTCTTCTGGAAACACATGAAGGAGTATTCAGATGTGACAATAGAGCCATTTGTCTTTTGCTTTGTGGCTCTTTGGTCAGTGACTGAACTGCTTGTGAATAAGTGATAGAACTTGGCAGCAAGTGGCCTGTAAATTCATACAGTATTCTCCTGTTATAAGTCAAACATACCTGCATTAATAGCTCAGATGATATTTACAAGTTAAAAGACCTTTTTTATATCTTTATTTAACAGGCTGAAAATGAACTTAATCTAGCAAGAAAGATGGCACAGTGGAAACCATGGGAGCCTTTAATTGAAGAACCTCCTTCTGACCAGTGGAAGTGGCCAGTATAAGATTTAGCATTCTCTGTAAATTCTTGAGGATTGAAAAACATTTAATTAAAACATTGGTCTGATATTACTGAAAATTGTTTGTTTGCCTTTAAATTAAAGGAATTACTGTTATATAAGGTTTTGTTTTGCTTCTTTTTAAACTTTAGTAGCACAAAGATATGTTTCAGCTTTGGCAGAGATGTTTCCCCTAAATAATATTTAGTTTTTCTAAAATATGATGATTGTGGTGATTAACAAGCCATTTATTTAAAGGAAAAGGTTTCTATTTTTAATTGGCCTTCTCATCTGATTCACATAGTAATTTTCACAAACAACACTTTGACGTCTATTTCTCTCAGTAGATTATCAGTTGTGTGCTCTGGATTGTGATATTAAATTGGTAAAGGCAAGAAGAATAAGGCAAAAGCTGCAGCTCACATTAAAATTGTGAGTGGTTTTGGTAGGATAAGAAATAAAGATAAAAGATGGTGAAATACACAACTTCAGGTAACTAGATTATTTTATGTTAAATATATAAAAAGCTGACTGTTCTGGGTATTGTGAAGCAACCTTAAAGACATTTGATTCTAATATTTCAGTCTTAAAATCTTAGAGATCACTGGAAAAAGCAAACTAAAAATGAAGTCTGTTATCAAATATAACCTAAAGAAAGCAAATGATACTAAGTAACTTATTTTTGCTATCATTGTATAGTTCTAGAATCTGGCTTGATAGTCCTTTGATTGATATTATATTTTATAAGCTTTATGAATTACTGAAGGTAAGCACTGTATGAATATAAGTGTATAACTTGGCAAATACCATTGATTGTGAACTGATACTGCCTTCTAATTGGAGAGAACTTAGTCTGCTTAGTTGATGATTCAGGTTTGATTATTCTCTTTTAATTATTTAAATAGGAGTTGGATAAAGCTATTTGTGAAAAGAGATTTCAGTGTCCTTAAACCTGAGTTGAATACTGAAAAAGTCGAACTTAGAAATCAGGAATTATAATAATTCCTGCTCTTGTCCTCTCAGTACTATTCAAGTAATCATTTTTAAAAATAAATGGCCTTCTAAGGACAGTGTACTGATTTACATTTTTAGTTTAGTTTAAAAAAAATCTTTCTGTGTGTGTATATACTTAAATCTCTGAATTTCACAATAGATTCCTACCCATGAGTAGGAATCTATTTTGAAATTCAGAGATTTAAATTACTAGACTGTCAGGGTAACAATATAGAAGGTAACTGTTGAAGGACTATTTAATTTCCTAAAAGTTGTTGCAGTTAGGTACTTATTAACATTGCAGCTATACTTCAGTCCAGAGGTGGCTGAAATGTGGCCCGTGGGCCAGATGCGGCCCATCAGGCCATTCTATGCGGCCCACAGGGCCCCTAAACATTTAGAAAATTAACATTTATCTACCCCTGGCTGCCTGTCATGCGGCCCTCGATGGCTTGCCAAAACTCAGTAAGCGGCCCTCCACCTGAAATAATTGCCCGCCCTGCTTCAGTCTGAAGTCTATTGTGCAGGTGCCATGAAGCTAGCCAACTGGAAGTACTGTGAAATGCAATACGTCAGAAATTTTCTTAGTTTTGCATTAAGATCATTGGTAATTTCTAACCCCCACCCTTCCCCCTCCAGTTCTGATGTATGCATACTTTCAAAAATGTGAACGTTGAGAAGATAGGATTATTTAAGAATATCATGGGACCAAGGGACACTTCCGAAGTTGTGTAACATTAACTTAATTCTAGCAAAAGTCAAAACTAACAAGACCCTGAAATAGACAATTTCAGGTAGCTGTGGATTTTTTTTATGTTAAATGTATAAAAAGCTGACTGCTCTGGATATTACGAAGCAACTTTAAACTTAAAGAGAACATGCGGTAATGGAGAGAATTTACAGTGTCTTGACACTTCATCAGATATAGAGCCTGTGCTGCCAAGATCTCTTGATTAAAATGTTCATCCCAAATGCACCACTTTCCCTATATTTTGTGAAGTTTGTTTTAAGCATTTTTTTTAAATAGTAAATTGAATAAAACCTTCAATTCACTCTTTTAAAAATTATATATTCACAGGAGAAATACCTTGGCTAAGGTTGGGATTTTCGATTATAAAAAAAATATTTAAAACAGTAGAGAAGAAGGAAAATTAAAACAGTAGAGATGAAACAAGCGTCTATAATGTGCAGAGGAGTCTTTTCCCCATCTCAAACTTAATCACACAGTGAGAATGTGTTTAAAAACCATTACCGCTGACAGCTGGAATAGTCAATCTTAGTGATGCATTACCTGTAATAAGTGATTGGTAACTGATTTCCATGTTCCCATGGCACTCAAACCTTTGAAATCTAATATTCATTACAGGTCAGTGAAACAGCCTTTTCTGGAGAATCTGCTTTTTTGCGGGGGTTGGGGGTGCAGGGTTTTGGGGGGGGGGGAATTGCAGGTATCTGCTCTTTCAATTCACTTTAATCCTGTTTATACCAGCTTACAAAAACACTAGCTATTTCTGTGAGGTGTTGTGTAGCTTGAGTGCAAGCTCTCCACTCTAGAAAAAGGAACATTATCGAAGATCACCAGCTTGCTGTAAACACTGACTCCGTCCAGATTTGTGAAAGGTCAGATGTTTGGCTAGTTACTTAGTATTCTGTTCTGTATACATGTTGGGTTTTCATAACACAATTGTCTACATGAATCGTTTCCAGGGGTTACGTAATGGAGCTAAAATGTAGCTAAAATCTGGCACACTTTGTACTGTAATCCTCTCCTGAAGTGGAGAAATATGTGCAGTGGGGTATCATCATCTGATAGAGATTTTATTTAATATGGTTTGGGGTTTTATGGGGGGTTGGTGTTTTGTAATATTCTCTGTTAGAGAAGCCAAGGTCAAAGGAATTTGCTTTTCACTTTGGAGGGAAGATGGGAGAGTTCATTCCAGTTTTGGACCATTCCCTGGGAAATTTCCCAACTGCACAGAAAACTTTATGCTGCTTGTGTAGATTTCCATTTTTTTCTGGAAGGAAGACACATACAGTATTTTATGAACATTGTACATTGTAGTGCATTTCATATGACTATACATCATTTCAGATAACTAAATATTACATGTACTGTTTAAGTGAATCGGTGATATATGTACGAATGTCTACAAAATCATGAAGGGTGTGAATAAAGTAAATAGGGAACTGCTATTCATCAAGTCCCAGACTACAAAAACCAGGTGGGGACCCACTAGATGGATATTGGTCTCATCTAGCATAGCACTTCTTTATATTCTTATATTTGCAAAAATTATTCTAGAATATTGAGGATTCCAGGTTGTGGCTAATGATATCCTTTTAGATGTTTTCTAGTCTTTTATTTTCAAAGTGTGTACCTTAAGGTAAAATAGCACAAGTAGTATACAAGTAGTTGAATATGCTGTTCATAAGACATTTTTCTTTGTCTTATGACCAGGGATCTGGGTTTTCAGTTTCCTGCGGAAAAGCATGGTTTCTCTCTTTTAAAGGGAAAAATCTGTGATTTTCTTTAAAGGAGGAAAACCTGGGATACTATCAATTTTCCCTTGCAGGCTTAAAGAGTTCCAGTTTGAAAGGGACTGCTTGGGGCTGGGGGAAGCAGGAGGAGGGCAATCGGAGGCAGGGGACACCACATGCATGTGCGCATGCACACATGCATGTGGCCAGCAATGCCGCCGGGCAGCATGGTGGAAAGCAGCTCCTGAAGCTTCCTGCAGGTGAGTCTAGGGGGCGCATATGTGACATGTTGAGGGAGCATGGGGAGCACATGCCCCCACAGATTTCTGCACCCACATCAGGGCATGGGGCTGCAGCCTGGCCAGACCAACACTGAGCAGGGGCCACCTTCACAGCCCAGCAGGCAGAACCCAACACAGGAGGATGGGGCAGGGAGGCTCAGTGCTGCCACTACCGGAAACGCCACACCCCCATGACTATCAAGGTGAGGCACAACTTGCCTGTCGGGGAGCAGCTGGGGGCACAGCCCCACACCACCATAGTGCCTCACCTTGGCAGCAATGGCAGCACAGCTGGTGCAGGACTTCTGACAGCAGAGTTGTCCCCTCTGCTGCTGCCAGGCTGGTAGGAGCACCTCACCTTGGTGGCCATGGCAGTGCAGCACTCCCTTCTGCACTGGGTCCCAGCCACTGGGCCACGGAGGTGGCAGCTGCTAGGTGCTGATCCAGCGAGGCTGCAGCTCCAATTCCTCCTGTGGGTGTAGAGATCTGGGAGGGCACATGCTCTCTCTCCCTCCCCCCTCCCCAATGCATTGCCTATGGCATTGTTGATGTCCACACCCACCACCTTCCCCACACTGAGGGGCTAGGGTCTGGAGGGGTGGGAAGGTGCACCAGGAGGGCTGTGGGGCATGGGGAAATGTGGGTTGGGAGTGACAGGTACTGACAGGGTTGGGGGCTGTGGGTTGGGAGTAAGGGGCAATGGCAGGGGCAGGGCACTCGCATATCAAGGCAGCTCAACACCACAAAGCAGTGGGGACAGCTGCAACTCGACCTACATCCTGGTGAGTGAAGGGGTGTGGAGAGTTCTGAGTTTTCCATGATAAAAAGCCAAAATTAAATGCTAAAATGTATAAGTATTCAGAATTTATTGTATTATAATGATTGAGGCACTGGTAGGCTTCTGAATTGCTTTAAAATGGTAAATATATCCATAAAACATTGTGTTCAACAGATACCTGTATACAGGCAACCCCTGCTTAACACTGTTTCGCTTAGTGCTGTTTCGCTATAACACTCATTTTAAATTGATACCTAATTTCACTTAGCACCCAGTGACTTTGTTATAACACTTGCGGTCACCATCTTGGGTCATTAAAAACAATTGCAGTCGCCATCTTGAGTCGTCAAATACTTTGTTTCGCTTAATGCTCATTTCACTTAACGCTTGGTTTTTCAGGAACCAATTAAGAATGCTAAGTGGGGGTTGCCTGTACATAAAATATATATATAGTAGTGTTTCATTTTAATTGCAGAAAAACTTGGATTTTGGGTGTTTTAATTGGAGAATTTTGGATTTTTTAACAGAGAAAACCAGGATCCCTGCCTATGACTTTGTTGTGCTGTATAACATCTTACATGTGACTT